TGTGAGACTTCCAATTTCTCCACATCCTTGCCAGCAATTATTTCTTCTTTCTTCCTCTCGTTTCTTTTTGGAATTACGGTCATGCTAGTGGATACTATGGCTTGCTTTTAACCCGCAGGAATCTATAAGGGGATGGGATGTCACTTCCATGATTAAAAATGACTCTCTTGTGGGGCGTCTGGGTGGCTCAGTCGGTTAGGGGTCTGACTCTTGATTTCGGTTCAGGTCATGATCTCTGGGGTGTGAGACAGAGGCCCACGTTGGGCTCCACGTTCATCAAGGAGTCTGCTCAGAGATTCTCTCCTCGCTCTCTGCCCTCTCCCACCCCCACTTAAGTGTACGCTCCCTTTTCTCTCTCAAATTAAGTAAAATCTTGGGGCACCTGGGTGGCTCAGTCGTTAAGCATCTGCCTTCGGCTCAGGTCGTGATCCCAGGGTCCTGGGATCGAGCCCTGCACTGGGCTCCCTGCTCGCTGGGAAGCCTGCTTCTCCCTCTCCCACTCTCCCTGCTTGTGTTCCCTCTCGCCGTGTCTCTGTCAAATAAATAAAATCTTTAAAACAAACAAAAAAGTAAAATCTTAAAATGCCTCTCTTGCTTGGAGACCCTCTCCCTTTCAAAGAAGCAAGCTGCCATGTTGTGGCTGCTCAGAATGGGCCTCTTGTTGACACCCAGAAAGTAGATAAATGCTGCCGACCATGTGAGTGTGGAAAGACCCTTCTCCAGAACAGCCCCAGATGAGACTCCTTGACTGCAGCCTGTGAGGGAAACATGGCTGAGCTGTGGCTTGACTCCTAGCCCTCAGAAACCACCATGAGATAATAAAGGTGCCAATGATTCCCATGTGTCAGGAGGCCGTGAGCTCTGGGAAGACGGGCTGTGAAGGGAAGATGGGGGTTTCCCAGGAGCTGACACTGTTCTATTTCGTGACCCGCTGGACATGCAGGATTTGCTTCTTATTCTCGGGACTCTTCTGTGCTCTCTTCTGTAGGGAGAGAGGCTGGGCCCAGCCAGGAGCCGACTGGTCTTGAGTCCCAGGCATGCTGGACCTTGGGAGAGGTCCAAAGGAGGTCCTGGCAGCCTCAGAAAAAGGCCTGGGACTATATAATACTGCACTGTATTATATATTATTATTACATAATTATATATACAGTACCATATAATACTGCACTGCATATTACATAAATACATACACAGTATTCCATATACAATAAAGGTACTGTATTATATATTACATGTACAGTATTATATATTTTATATAGATTTGTATTATAGATTTATATGCATTATATATAATACTGCACCATATATTATTACATAATTATACATACAGTATTTCATATATAGTAACACCACACTGTGTTAGTTACATAATTACATATATGGTATTATATATACAATATGGTACTGTATTACATATTGTTACATTACTTATATGGTATTATATATATACAATACTGCACTGGGTCACCTGGTTAAGCGTCTAAGTGTCTGACTCTTGGTTTCTGCTCAGGTCTTGATCTCAGGGTCATGAGATGGAGCCCCGTGTCGGGCTCCACACTCAGTGTGGAGTCTACTTGAGATTCTCTCCCTCTCCCTCTGCCCCTCCTGCTCATGCTCTCAAATAAATCAATCTTAAAAAAAAAAAAATACTGCAGGGGCGCCTGCGTGGTTCAATAGGTTAAGCGTCTCCCTTTGGCTCAGGTCATGATCCCAGGGTCCTGGGATTGAGTCCTGCATCGGGCTCCCTGCTCAGTGTATATAGTCTGCTTCCCCTTCTCCCTCTGCCTCTCCCCAACTTGTGCTCTCTGTCTTGCTGTCTCAAATACATAAGATCTTAAAAAAATACTGCAGTGTTATATATTATTATATAATTACATCTATAGTATTATATAATACTGCATTGCATTATAATACCTAATTACATATACAGTATTATAAATACACAATAGTGTACTATGTATTACATAATTATACAGAATTTATATATACAGTAACATGGCACTGTATTACATACTACTTATATATATAGCACTATATATACAAGACTGCACTGTTGTATTAGTTATATATGCAGTATTATATATACAATACTGTACCTTACTGTTACATTATTACATATACAGTAACACCATAGTGTGTATTTGAAAGCTGCTCAGAGTACAGCTTAGAAGTCCTCATCACCAGAAAATACTTTTTGATATAGATGTTAAGTAGACTTCTGGTGGTGATCATTTTGCAATATATACATGTGTTGAATCATTACATCGTACACCTGAAACTAATAGAACACCATTTGTCAATTATCTCTCCATAAAAATAAAAGGAAGATGCCTGGGTCAGGCGAAGGGCTGAAGTCTTCTTCGCGAGCCCCTCACCACTGCTCCTCCCCTGGGTGTGAGGATGGATGGCAGGGGTGTCCCTTGCACAACCTCCTTGGGAGAGCAGTCCCAGCAGAGCCTCAGCAGGCTTAGCCCCAGGGAGGGAAAGTGAAGGGCAGGAACAAGGGGCCAGAAAGCACTAGAGAACTTCTGGTGCCCAGGAAATCTGCTAATCCCCAAGGATCCCTCAAGCCTTCCCGGTGAGCTCCTGTGTCACTCAGGGAGGGCTGGCCACCTGGGCTGGCACTCCTGTAGAACAGTCCTTCTCCTGCACGGACTGGGTCAGGGACCGTGGGCGCCCAGGAGACCTTGCACCTGTCCGTAAGTAGCCACCAGCTTTGTCACCTATCACCTATCATACAGCACGCAGGGCGATGTGGCACCACAGACTCATGTGCCAGAGAATGCCCAGATTAAGCCCCTGTGGGGATGTGGGGTCAGTAGGGGAAGGGCTGTCTGAGGGGCTGGCATAGGGACTGTGCAGTGGACATAAAAGCAATTAATTGTGCCAGCAACTGAGGGTATGACTCCTCAATCCCCCTTTCCTAAGGCTAAGTATTCCCTTTGCCGTGTGCCCTGATGGCCAGAGCTGGGGGCGCTGCTTTAAGGACTCAGACAGCAGCTCACTTCACATCCCAGAAGAAATGCCATTTAGGGTTTGAAGCTGGTGCCCCAACTCCCATCACCCCCACCCCCACCCCCACTGACCCCACTCCAGCTCTTGGTGTCCTTCAGACCAAGAGCATCAGCAGCCCAGGGAGACTCACGTTTGTGGTACTGACACAGGCTACCGTGCAGATAAACCCTGAAAACCCTGCTTGGTTAACAAGAGCTAGTCACAGGTCACTTACTCTGTGCTCTCACTGACAACAGGTCCAGAGCTGACAAATCAACAGACACAGCAAGTAGATCAGCGGTTGTCTAGGGCTGGTGTCAGGGGGAGTGACTGCTAATGGGTACCCCAGCTTCCTTCGGGAGTGATGAAATGTTCTAAAACTATGCAGTGATCAACTACAGAGCATAACATCGTGCAGTTATTAAAAACCACTAAACTGTACACTTTAAAGTAGTTAACATGTTGAATTTTATGTTTTAACTCAATCTAAAAAAATCTATACAGGGGCGCCCAGGTGGCTCAGTTGTTAAGCATCGGGCTCCGTGGGGAGCCTGTTCTCCCTCTCCCCTCCCTCTGCTTGTGTTCCCTCTCTCGCTGTGTCTCTGTCAAAAAAACAAAATCTTTAAAAAATCTGCCTACAATATAATAAAAGTACATTTTTGGGCCCCTCTCCAGAAAATCAGATGGGGAGATGGGGCAATAACCTGTTTTAAGTCCTCCCAAGTATTTCTGATGCCTGACTCAACTGTCCCAGTCTTTCCTAAGCAGGGCCACAGGCAGGTCCCAAACCCCACTGTGGCCACCATCCCAACTAGGTGAGAGTCCCTTCCAAAGCACTGTGGTGCACATCCCCTTTCCCACTTGCTCCAATCACAGCTGGGTACCACCTCACACAGGGCACTCCCAGCTCCCAGGCAAACCCAACTGCCCCCCACTATCCTAGGGAGAATCTCCACATATCCACAGGACACAGTGGGTGTGTCCCCAAGGTTGGGCCCCGCTGGGGATCCTATGGGCTCCCATGCAAGCTGCAGGGCCAGCATAGTCCCTCCAGCCCTCCCTTCACCAGCCTGTAGTTCTGGGCCTGGCTAGAGACCCCGTTTTGAGCCTGGAAGGTGGCCCCAGAAATCCCACCCACTGTGGCCAAAGGACCCCTCCTTCAGGGCAGCTGGGGGCCTCTATGCACTTAGGAGATGCCACAGTCTACGCTACGTGCTGGTTAAGATGTCCTCCTCTACTGGAGAGAAGCAAGGTGTGTGTGTATGTGGTGGTGGTGGTGGGGGGGGAACCTCAAGAGCCTGACTCCACCATGATCTTAGAGCCCTGGAGGATCTACACCTGCTGGCCTGACCCACCCAAATCTCAGGGATTGCAACTGCCTCCTGACCTGCGTCCCTGCTTCTCTCTATATAAACAAGTATTTCACACATTTTCATATTCTTCAAGAGGACTCAGGGTGGCGTGGTGACCTCTCTGCCCCCAGCCCCCTTATGATTTATGGGTGACTTCCTCTAGGCACCCTCCACATCCCCGTCTGGGAGCTCTCCTCTGCTGGAACCCAACTAGGGTGAGCTATGGGGTCCTCGGAGTGTTGTGCATGGCCTCCATCCATCTGACCTCCTCCTCTCCACCCACCCAGGACCATGTGTCCACTACACTCCTACACACAGGAGAATGGGCAGTACTTGAAATCCATGAGGCTCAGAGGTCTGGGGTGCACCAGGGACAGGTGGGTGCCTCTAGCAACAAGGTTGGAAGAGCCAAGCACAAGAGCTCAAGACCACCTGCTCCTAGACAGAGTGAGGAACACCCAGGTGTGGGGGGAGCATGTGCAGCTTCCAGGCATCCTACAACTGTCTCAAACTCAGCCTTACCTTTGTGGCTGACACCTCATTACTACTCCTAAGTCCAGGGATGTCTTCACTCTGCCTTTTCAAAACCACTCCTCCATGGATGGTGGTGATGGCTGCACAACACATGAACACACTTAACAATGGTTGAAATGGTAAGTTTTGTGTATTTTACTAGTTTTTTTCTTTTTTTTAAAAGTCCACCCCTCCAGGAGATGAGGGATGGAGGCGGGAGGTCCTTCTGTCATCCTGGCTCTGAGCTGCGCACCCTCATGCTGCCTGACCTGGGGTGTGTTCTGCCTGCTTCAGCCCAGGCAGCCAAACAGTCATGCACCCACAATCCCAGGCCTCATCCCCCTTTGCCCCTCCCCTCCTTAGGACCACCCTTAACCCATTCATGGCTTTGCACCAACCTGCGTCTACTTCCCAAACCCTAGAGGACACACCTCTACTCAACGAGCTTGGGGTCTACTCTACCTACCAAGCAGGTATCCTTCCCCCAAGAAGTGAAAAGAAGAGATCCCTGTTACCCTTTTCAGAAGGGCTCATTTTGGTCTCTTAGTAAAATGTGACAGAATAGCTGAGAGCATGGGTACCACCACCAGGCTCTCTTGAGTATGCGTCAAACTACAACCTGACCCAAATCAGCATCTCCTGCCTCTGAGGACCTTGTGGCTGTCATGTGGATGTTGTCCAAAGGCCTGTCTTTGTTCTTAAGTAACTCCCAAAGGGGAAGCTGCAGTGTTGTTCACTGGAGCCAGGCTGAGGCTGCGCTAACAGCAGACTAGATGGGCAGCCCTTCCTAAAGAAGTGGACGTGGAATGGGGCACCTCCCTCCTCCCCAGCGGAGCCTGCTGTGGTCTACACCAAGGGGTGGAGCTGTGCAGCCCAGCGAGCAGACAGCACATTGCACGCCAGATGGTCAGGGCAGGGCAGCAGGCATTTCAGATGCCAACAGTCAAAGGGAGTCTAACATTAAGTCACAATTTCTGAGGGTGAGCTTGCTAACCAAGAACATCCAGTGTGCCACCCGCTGTGGGAGGCCACGGTGAAGTCTCTAGAGCACAGCGGGACAGCAGAGACCCCACCGCAGCAGTAAGGAGGCCGTCTGTCAGATTTATTTATTCCTACTCAACAAAACCCCAGAACACAGGAGCAACTCTGTACATCGCTAGAAACTCACAGCGAGCTCCAAAACAATAGAAATTGTAAACTACAAAAGATGAGTTGTATTCAGCAAATATAAAGGGTAACTTTAGGCTGTGTTGAATGTTTATCAGACTATTTACAGGCCCAGATGTAGGTTCAGATCTCTCCAGCCTCCTTTTCCTCCGACCTCCGCGAAGTTGTCTTCCCATTGGAGCTCTCCAGCCTCCAGTCAGCAGCCCCTCGCTCACTGCGCCCATGCTCCCAGGACTCCTCCCTCGGTGCCCGTTCTCTGGAGAACCTGGGAAATGAGAATCAGAGGCTCAGAGGAGGCCAGCATCCCTCTTCTGGCTGACTCCTTGAGCACCGGCAACTTGGACCCTCAACATGAGCTCAGGGAAGACCAAAACACAGCACGCCCGGGGAAGCCCTCGGCAGGCAGAGGGCAGCCGTCTAGTGCCCAAGCCACTACAAGGGAGTGTTCAAGCAGCTACTCAAAAGTGACATTTGTAAAGATTTCTCCTAACAGGGTAGGATTTTGCTGTAATGTGAGCGAAGCAAAGAACCACAAAGTGTACACGTGGAGTATGATCCGTTACATAAACACAGTGGAAAAAAGGCTATAATCAAGCACACAAGGGTGCTCACAGAGCTTACCTCAAAGGGTGAGTATGAATGTTTTTTGGGTTGTTTTTCCTTAAGAAAACCACAACAGAGGTAAGCAGGGCCTGGTCAGGAAGCAAATCTCAGGGACTCTGTGTACTGAGGGGACACTGAGCATGTGGCAGGTCACGAGGGAGTTATGCCCGTGTAACCACCTCCACAGCCTCTCAACTGTCCCAGCCCTGAATCCACCTGCTGCTCGAGCTTACAGCTCCCTATGCACTGGGCCCCATTCATGACTCCTCAAGGCTCCAACACTGTTCCAGAGATGCCCAGCCAGGCTCCTGAACAAAAGCCCCAGACCCATCCCGACCAGGCATGGCCAACAGGCCCCAACGATAGACCCCCAGAAGACCCTGGGAACACAAAGAGAAGGGGCTCACTCCTGGTTGCAGCTACTGAAGGAGTCAGAGTAGTTACTTGTATTTCGCACTCCGGTCCCTGGAAGCCCGGCGGTGGCCCCGGCTGTGGCTGCGGGAACGGCTGCGGTGGCGCCGGTGTCTGTCTCGGGACCGGGATCGGGACGACTTTCGTCGCTCCCTGGAGGTAGATCTGGACCTCCTGCGACGCCGATCCCGGGAGCGTGACCTGCAGGAGACAACCAGAAGGCTCTGAAGGCCATGATGCCCCCTGCCAATAGCCCTTCTCTCGCAAGAAGTTCTGCTGGATGGTTCACTGGCATCTCCCCTTCCCTTCTACAAATTTACAACTGGGGTCCACAACAGTCCCATCAATTCAGAATTATGGCCCCATCCCACTGATGCTTCCGGAAAACACCTCGCCAGGAAACACCTACCACCCCACAGGCCTCAGCAGTACCTTCTGACTTCCCTCTCATTTACAGTGGATCCCACTGCTGCACTAAGCCCCAACCAACCTGACAACAGATGGATAGGGCCCGAGCTTGGTCCCTCACCAGCCCTGCCCACCAGATAACAAGTGTGAAGCTATAAAAGATAACTAATAAGGAAAAATGCATGTGGAGGGGTGCCTGCGGGGCTCAGTCAGTTAAGTGACTCTTGGTTTCGGCTCATGTTGTGATCTCAGGGTCATGAGATCGAGGTCCACATCAGGCTGCACACACAGGGCAGCGTCTGCTTGGGACTCTCTCCCTCTCCCTTTGCTCCCCACTGCTGCACGCGCATGCATGCATACACACTCTCTCTCAAATAAGTAAATCTTAAAAAAGAAAAAATGTGGGGGGAGAAAAGACAAAAAATGTGGGGGGGAAAAAGGGCATCTGAGAATATGTTAATGGATCTGGAAACCTACCTCCTTCGATCTCTGGTTCTTGATCCAGACCTAAAATGAAAAAGAGAAAAAAAGGATGGGCAATTTCCCCCAAACAGCCCACCCCACAGTCTACAAGGTGAAGCAGTGCTGACTTCCCACCGAGTCGGCTCACCCATTCTCAGGCCCACAGCTCCAGGTGTCAATGCTCACAGCATGAGGCCAGCCCCCAACCCCCAGGGGTCAAATGCTACACTCTGAGTTCAACAACTGGCTCGTCAAAGTCACTTGCACAGCTATGCAGACTGTCACACAGCAGATGCAAGGCTGGACAGGATCTAAAGTCACCAAAGGACACCAAAGTTAAAGCAAAGCCAAAGCCTCAAGTTCCAGACACAGGTTCACTGCTAGGTGAGGGTCACATGACCTCCTTGGAAACTATATAACCAACCAGCAATCCAAGAAATACACAATACAATGAGTTCTCATTTTACACCCTGTTCTACAGCAAAAATTAACAAGATCACTAGCAAAATGTGCTGAGGGGGATGTGACAGAAGATGTTCACACAACATGCATCTAAAGGATGATCTGATAGTTTTTTGTAAAGCAATTTTTCCAACACCTATTAATGTTTATATATATTAAATTCCTTTGTCCTAGGAATTCTAAGAAATTTTATAAACCAATCAAACATATCAAAATAAGGATGATCACTACAGTACCCATTCAAAAATAGTTTTACAGAGCCACCTGGGTGGCTCAGTCGGTTAAGCTTCTGACTCTTGATTTCGGTTCAGGTCATGATCTCAGGGTCCTAGGATGGAGCCCTGCATGAGGCTCCATTCTGGGCAGTGTGCTTGAGGATTTCTTTCCCTTTGCCCCCCACCCCACGCTCTCTCTCTCTCAAATAAATAAATCTTTAAAAAACAAAATAGGGGTGCCTGGGTGGCTCAGTGAGTTGGGCATCTGCCTTCAGCTTGGGTCATGATCCCAGGGTCCTTGGATCGGGCCCCACGTCGGGCTCCCTGCTTAGTGGAGAGCCTGCTTCTCCCTCTCCTGCTCCCCCTGCTTGTACTCTCTGTCAAATAAAGAATAAAATCTTAAAATAAAACCCCAAAATTGGGGCACCTGGGTGGCTCAGATGGTTAAGAGTCTGCCTTTGGCTCAGGTCATGATCTCAGAATCCTGGGATTGAGCATCAGGCTCCCAGCTCAATGAGGAGTCTGCTTCTCCCTCTGCCCCTCCCCCTGCTCATGCTCTCACGCTCTCTTGCTCTTTAAAATAAATAAAATCTTTATTATTTTTAAAAGATTTTATTTATTTGTCAGAGAGAAAGAGAGAGAGTGTGTGTGTATGCATGCATAAACAGGGGGAGTGGCAGGCAGAGGGAGAAGCAGGCTCCCCGCTGATCAAGGAGCCCAATGTGGGACTCAATCCCAGAACCCTGGGATCACAACCCGAGCTGAAGGCAGACGCTTAACTGACTGAGCCACCCAGGTGTCCCGTAAGTAAAATCTTAAAAACAAAACAAAACCCACAAAAAACAAAAATAGCTTTATAGAAACTTCGTCATCAAAAACTGAAATCAGGGATGCCTTATGTGTTTTGCTTAATACATTTTTATACTGTTTGAATCTATTTTGTTTTTGTTTGAGTCTCTTTACAATCAAAATGTGTTAGGTAATTAAAGTAATGAAGAGAAACACAATAAATACAATAAACACTTACTTGTTGTTTCTGAACTATACACTAATTCCTCCAGGAAAGCCCAGCTTCTGGGCCTTTCAAGGACAGTGAGCTGTACCCCATGACAGTGGGGTCCTGGCTCCAGCCTTTTCCCTGAACTCTGACCACATGTCTCCTAAGCATCTCAAACTGAGTATGGCCAGAGCCAAATCCTACTGCCCACCAACCCCTCTTCACCCTAGTACACTGCTCCCAGTGTTCTCCATCCCCTAAGTGGCAGCTCCAGGCCTGAAACCATGAGGCCAGCTCTGTTCCCCCTTTGCTTGCCTCACAACCTTGTACCAGCGAATCGTAACAGCTCTACCCCCACAACACACCAAGATCCCGCTCACCCTGTCAACTGGCACCTCCTTCACTGGGACTCTTGCTGCTTCCACCCTTACCACCTACACTCGTTCTCAGCAGGGCCCGACAATACTCAGTCAACTTCAGAGTCTGCTCAGACCTAAGGCCTTTCCCTGACGGATTTTCCCTTCAACGTATGGCTGTGTGACAAAGCATGCCCCAGCATGTCTGCACCACACAGCGCTCCTCCCAGGCCAGCCAAAACCCCGCTCTTCTGAACAGGCTGCATGTTTGCTCATTTTTCTTTTAAGGGCCACGTAGGTCCACAGCAGACCTCAATTGCTACAAGCCAGACCTCAAGGAAGGAGCAGGGTCTCCTTGGGCATGTGTGTACTGTGGGACTCACCTCCTGCTCAGTCGCTCCTCCCGCTCTCTCTCCTCTCTCCTCCTCAGTCGATCCTGATTTCTCTTCTCCTGCTTTTCAGCCACAGTTTTCTAAACAAACAAAAAGTTGAAAAATAAGAGAAGAAAAACTTATACCAACTAGAGTATGAATGTTGTTTAACAAAGCACTTTTATGGGGCCCCTGGGTGGCTCAGTCGTTAAGCGTCTGCCTTCGGCTCAGGTCATGATCCCAGGGTCCTGGGATCAAGCCCCGCATCAGGCTCCCTGCTCTGCGGGAAGCCTGCTTCTCCTTCTCCCCCTTCCTGTGTTCCCTCTCTAGCTATCTCTGTCAAATAAATAAATAAAATCTTAAAAAAAAAAAAAAAGCACTTTCACATGATCTCAATATTAGTAATTTAGAAATCTAAAAAAAACTCTTAGGAAACAAGAACATAATCACCTTTAAAGCTTCTTAATGGAAAATACACGAAAGTAACGCTTTTACAAATACATCTTATAAATTCATTGACAAACTGTATATTCTAAGAGGTGCTATGGTTCTAAGGCACAGAAATTGATATTTCGCTTCACACCAATCCAGATAGTTTTCTACCCAAAGGAGATTCCACACACTTTACTGTAAAAAAAAAACCACATGTATGACCAAACCTATCCTGCTGCCCAGGAGCAGCCTGTTCTTGGGAGTGCTGAGTGCTACACTGGCTTGAGACCCGGCCTCGGTGGGGACAGCAGGCCAGGGAAGGTAGACCGTGAACACTCCACAACCGGCTGGCTTTCTTGTTTGCTTGCTTTCTTTAGTATTTTAAGTAATCTCTACACCCATCATGGGGCTGAAACTTACAGCCCCAAGATCAAGAGTCACATGCTCTACCCACTGTGCCAGCCAGGGGCACCCACAACTGGCTTTCAACACCAAGCTCAATACTTGGCTTATCAGGCTCGATGGTGAACACAACAGAAAAGACAATGCAACAGAGCGGAGGAGGTCCGGAGAAACTCCACTGTGGAACACTACTGACACAGCTTAGCTCAAAGCACTAGGTCCGGTCTACATACTCCCACCCCGTATCAACCCAAAGCCTTTTTTTTTTTTTAAAGATTTTATTTATCTGACAGAGAGAGACACAGCAAGAGAGGGAACACAAGCAGGGAGAGTGGGAGAGAGAGAAGCAGGCTTCCCGCCAAGCAGGGAGCCTGATATGGGACTCGACCCCAGGACTCTGGGATCATGACCTGAGCCGAAGGCAGACACTTAAGATCTGAGCCACCCAGGCACCCCTCAACCCAAAGCCTTTTGATGTCTGCACCTCTCTGCTGTTGGAATGAAGCCCTAAGGGGGGGTAAAGTAGGTCCAGGGAGACAAAGGGTCACCAGTCTACCACGAAGGATAACCCTGTATCTCAGTGCAAACTGGAGCCAGGCCCCTAAACAAAAGGGTATAGCAAGGACTGAGGGAGAGGGGCCAGCTATCCTCCTCAAAGCACTCACAAGGTGTGAGAGCCCTCCTGTCTGGAGCCTCTGGTTCTCCACCCCTGGCTTCACTTGTCCTGGATCCGAGCAGGCACATAAGGATGGACACATTAAGGTTAAGGATGGGAGTTTCAGCCCCTCAACTTACATGCAGACTCTTCGTAAAGAGGATGTGACCGAGCACAGGGCTATGGTCTGGTATTAACTCCTTTGCAAACCTCTCTACTTCCTAGACACTGTCCTTCCACCCCTAAGAAAGAAGGCCTTGCCTCGCTATTACCTGGGTGTGTGGCCTGGTGGTATGAGCACCTCTGGGACAACTGTAAGTGAAGCCATCTCTGATTAGGACCCAGAACTCTCACCCTCCTCATTGTTTAGAGGTGCACTTCCAAACATGTTTTCAGTTGTTAGTTTAATAGCCATTATCAAAAACTGTAATATATTTGTGTTGTTTTAGTCAACTTCGTACAACTCACACTGCAAAGATAAAGCATGCTTTCTCGATCTAGTTAATACTAAGTTCTTTAAAGGCGCGCCTGACTAGCTCAGCCAGTACAGCATGTGGCTCTTGATCTTGGGGTTTTAAGTTTGAGTCCCATGTTGCGTGTAAAGATTACTGAAAAATAAAACCTTAAAAAAACCAAAAACTTGTTCTTAAGATTTCAGGGGAAAAAATTTCAATATAGTCTCATCTCTGTTGGAGAAATATGTGTTAAAAAAATAAAAGGCTTTCAGGTATAAAAAAAAATATCAAAACTAGGGGCACCTGGGTGGCTCAGTCTTTGGCTCAGGTCATGGTCTCAGGGTCCTGGGATCGAGCCCCGCATCAGGCTCCCTGCTCAGCAGGAAGCCTGCTTCTCCCTCTCCCACTCCCCCTGCTTGTGTTTCCCCTCTTGCTTTGTCTCTGTCAAATAAATAAAATCTTAAAAAAAAAAAAACCCGGGCGCCTGGGTGGCTCAG